TCAGGTGATCCACCTGCCTTGGCCTCCCAAAGTGCCAGGATTACAGGTGTGAGCCACCAGGACTGGCACGTCATTTCTTTTCTTTTGCCATTACAAACAGTCCTGCAGCCAACATCCTTTCTCCTGCATACACCTGCGGGAGAGATAAGCTGGCTTCCTTTTCCAGCTCTTTTTCTGAGCTGAACCTTTGGAAGAAAGCAGCCAGAAGAAGGTAGGTGGGGAGGGGTGACCTGTGGCCCAACCTTCGCTCCAAAGCCAGTTTTCCTTAACACTTCCTCCTACCAGCAAGAAGAAAGGCCAATCCGACAGATTTTGTACCTTGGGGACCTGCTGGAGACCTGCCACTTCCAGGCCTTCTGGGTAACTTCCGTGGGGTCCAGGGACAGGGGAGATGGCAGCGCCATGTGGAGCTGAATGCCAAAAGTAACAATGGTGCACAGAGCCTGGCTTCCTGCTTTGGCAGTGGGCCCAGTGCTCCACATGTGTGTTTTTGAGGAATCATCATGCTCTCGTGGGGCAGGTACTCACAGGTCCTCCGCTTGCCCACAGGCTGAGGCCGACCCTTTCCCCTCTCTCCCGTCTTTCCACTGGGCCCTCTACTACATACCATTAATCAGAAAAAGTCCTCCAATGGCTGGGTGTAGTGACTCACCCCTGTGATTCCAGTATTTTGTGGAGGCCGAGGTAGGAGGATTGCTTGAGGCCAGGAGTTCCAGACCAGCCTGAGCAACATAGTGAGACCTCATCTCTACAAAATTGAAAATTAATTGGGTGTGGTGGCAGGTGCTTGTACTCCCAGCCACCCAGGAGGCTAAGGTGGGAGGATCGCTTGAGCCTGCGAGTGAGCCGTGATCACACCACTGTACTCCAGCCTGGGCAACAGAGCAGGACCGTGTCTCAAGAAAGATAAATTCTCCGTTTCTTTCTATTTCTTCTGCCTGTCTGACACACTCTGCCCTTCTTGCTGTAACTGGAACCTGGCCCCCCACTTCTGCAGCCTCCTGAGTGGGAGGCTAGTTCACCTCCTGGTTCCTATCTCTTCTGATACCCTCAGTCTTTTTTGTTGTTTTTTGTTTGTTTTTTGTTTTTTTGTTTTTTTTTTTGAGATGGAGTCTCACGCTGTTGCCTAGGCTGGAGTACAGTGGCACGATCTTGGCTCACTGCAACCTCTGCCTCCCGGGGTTCAAGTGATTCTCCTGCCTCCTGAGTAGCTGGCACTACAGGCGCCCGCCATCACGCCCAGCTAATTTTTATATGTATTTTTTATTTTATTTTATTTTTTTGAGACAGAATCTCACTCTGTTGCCCAGGCTGGAGTGCAGTGCAGCAATCTCGGCTCACTGCAACCGCCACCCCCGCCCCGAGTTCAACCGATTCTCTTGCCTCAGCCTCCCAAGTGGCTGCGGTTACAGGCACACGCCATCACACTGGCTAATTTTTGTATTTTTAGTAGAGACGGGGTTTTGCCATGTTGTCCAGGCTGCTCTTGAACTCCCGGCCTCAGGTGATCTGCCTGCCTCAGCCTCCCAAAGTGCTGGGATTACAGGCGTGAACCACCGCGCCAGGCCAGAAACCCCCAGTCTTGAAGTGCGTGTGTCATCACTTCCTGCCCAGTATCAGTCCCTCTGGTGACTGCTCTTTGTTTCTTGAAGAATTCAGCTCCTGGCCGGGCGCGGTGGCTCACACCTGTAATCCCAGCACTTTGAGAAGCTGAGGCAGGTGGATCACTTGAGGTCGGGAGTTCGAGACCAGCCTGACCAACATGGAGAAACACTGCCTCAACTAAAAATACAAAATTAGCCTGGTGAGGTGGCGCATGCCTGTAATCCTAGCTCCTCAGGAGGCTGAGGCAAGATAATCGCTTGAACCCAGGAGGCAGAGGTTGCGGTGAGCTGAGATCAAGCCATTGTACTCCAGCCTGGGCAAGACTCCCTCTCAAAAAAAAAAAAAAAAACCAGAATTCAGCTCCTTCTCACTGGCGTTGTCTACCACTCTTGCCCTAATTATTAGATGCTTAGAAAGTAACATAGAGGATCCTTTGACCACCCAGACCTCTGGGTCCCTTGCTGTCTTGGCCAGCTATCTTGTACTGCATTTGACCTCAGTCCTTCTCTTCCAATCATACCCTGGGCCAGTTCTCTGCACATTGGACCTCTGAGGCATTTATTTTCTTTCTTTTTTTTTTTTTTTTTTGGTTTTGTTTGAGACAGTGTCTCGCTGTGTGAGCAGGCTGAAGTGCAGTGGCGCAATCTCAACTCACTGCAACCTCCGCCTCCTGGGTTTAAGCGATTTTCCTGTCTCAGCCTCCCAGGTAGCTGGGACTACAGGCGTGGGCCACCACGCCTGGCTAATTTTTGTATTTTTAGTAGAGATGGGGTTTCACCATGGTGGCTAGGCTGGTCTCAAACTCCTGACCTCAAGTGATCTGCCTGCCTCGGCCTCCCAAAGTGCTGGGACTACAGGTGTCAGCCACCGCGCCCAGCTCTCTGAGGCATTTTTAAAAATTGACACTGATACATGGGTCCTGCCCTCACAGAGTCTGATGTAATTGGTTCAGTGTAGCCTAGGCCTTGGGATTTTAAAAAGTTACCCTGGGTGATTTGGACATCTGGCCAATGTTGGGAGCCACTGCCCTCACCAATAATGGCTCCCCTCCTCCCCCTGTGAGTTTCCAGCATCTCCATTCTCGCCGCTTCCTCCCAGCTCCTCAGCTCACCCCCACAGGTTCTCCATCCCCACGTTCTTGGGCCTGACCATTAGCTCCAACCCTCTGTCTCTGCATTCTTCTCTGTTTCGCTTCCTTCTCTTAAATTGCATGTGCTGGCCGGGCGTGGTGGCTCACGCCTGTAATCCCAGCACTTTGGGAGGCCGGGGTGACCGGATTGCCTGAGGTCAGGAGCTCAAGACCAGCCTGACCAACATGGAGAAACCCCACCTCTACTAAGAATACAAAGTTGGCCAGGCGTGGTGGCGCATACCTGTAATCCCAGCTACTCGAGAGGCTGAGGCAGGAGAATTGCTTGAACCTGGGAGGCGGAGGTTGCGGTAAGCCGAGATCATGCCATTGTCCTCCAGTCTGAGCAACAAGAGCGAAACTCCATCTCAAAACAAACAAACAAACAAACAAACAAAATGCATGTGCCTCCCCTGTCCCCAGCTGCAGCGGTGGTCTTGCTTCCTTCCCCAACTCCTGGACGTTTGCTCATGCTTTATCTGTCTCCCTTTCTTCTCACCTCAACTTATGATCTGGCTTCTTGTCTCAGGAGAAAATAGAAGCAGCCACTGCAGAAATTGCACCTGCTCCCATCCCAGACCCTGACATTTTATGTGCGGCTGACTGCATACTTTTTTGTTTTTAATTCTTAAACATTTTATTTTTTATTCAA